TCATGGGCGCCCGCAGAAAACTTTCTAGGGGGGGGGGGGCAAAAAAAATCGATTAACTTTCTAGGGGGGGGGGGCAAAATTTTTTTAGGTATGTTTTAATATAGTTTTAATTTACTGTAGCGTATTTGTATGGTGAACGAACGGACAGGACATCAGCTAAGTTACTTTCTCTTTATTTTCTCTTTACTTTAATAAATTTTTTGTCTATTTTTGTCTTTAAAAAATGTATCCAATCAATCCAGGGGGGGGGGAGCATGTGCCCCCCTTGGCCCTCCCCCCTGCGGGCGCCCATGGACGTAATACATAGATGGCCCCTACTCGGATTCGTGGGGTATTAACTAAAATTTAAGCCCCTCCCCCCCTCCCGTACCCGTAAATAAACTGCGGTATTTCTGATCACCAGAAGACTCCATGGGGGCCATGAGGTTCACTATAGCTGTGGTGCTGGTGTACGGTGTGGGCGTCATTGGCTTGTTGGGGATCTCAGCTCGTCGGAACCGGAGGCTGGAGCTTATGGACAAAGAGGTCAACAAGTTCATCAAAAGTAAACTTTCAAAATATGAGGAGAGACGAGCAAAGTAAGTGCATTACTTCCCCTTTTTTGTGACACGATTGCATCCCTTCTTCACACGATTGCATCCCTTCTTCATACGATTGCATCCCTTCTTCACACGATAACATCCTTTCATCACGCGATTACATCCCTTTCATCGCGTGATTACATCCCTTCTTGACACGATTACATCCCTTCTTCACAAAATATTGCATCCCTTTTTCACACGATTACGTCCCTTCATTGCACGATTACACCCCTTCATCACACGATTTCGTCCCTTCGTCACATCCCCTCAACGTAAATAATATATAAAAATAGCTATGACCATGGCACACATACTTTTAAAAATATAAAGACAATTTTTTTGTTTGTTCGTTTTCATGTCAGCTGTTGCAGTAAAGCATCAATCTTCCAAACGAATTGGGACCAGTGGTATTTCGAAGAATACATTCTTCGGGATAACCCGAGCTGGACGTAGACTTGCAGAAGCTCTAAGCTATGCAAAGTACAGGGGCTCCCTGCCGTTTTAAATTACATCAGCTAGTCAAAGACATTTTTTAAAAATTTCTATAGCCAACATGTGGCACTGGGCCGCATCACTGGACTCTGACGATAAAGTTTGCATTACAAAGTTAGTGCAAAAAAAAAAATAATAATAATAATAAAAAAATAAAAAATGTTAGCTTTGTAGTGATACACGTATGGGGTTTTATTGCAGTGCTTCTCAAACTATTTTCATTGAGGCCTCCTGCGCTATAAAAAAAAGAGTATATATTTTTAATTTTTAAAAAACGACTAAATTGTGATTTTTATAACATTTTTAAAAAAAAGATTAGTAAATGGCACCTTTAACCGGTTACATTGAGTGACATCTCCATGGCTACGCTCGATGTATAGTGCCGCAACACTTTAATACAGTTCCTCATGTTGTTGCTTCTTCATAAAAATGCGTTTTCCGATGCCGGTGGTCTTAGGCAACCCCTATGCAAGGGTTGTTCGACCCCCACATGGGTCGCGACCCACAGGTTAAGAGCCGCTACGTTAGAGTTAGATGCTTACACTATGCGATGATACGTATCGCAGTGTCCCAACAATTTGCCGCTCTTTACGAACTGCCGAATCTTGTTGTTCGCATTTATCGGTATTTTGAATATTTCATCGTAAAAGTATGACTTTTAAATAAGAGATTGGAGTTAGTTACCAATGGTATCATCATAATTTTAAAAAAAAATAAAGTTATATGCATAGTTTTAAATGTACTCGATTACATATATGTTGAGCTATATTAAATGACAATTTGAAGGAAAAAAAATAAAAATAAAAAATTAAGAATTTAACTGACACATAGGGCCTACAAATAGCGAACGTTTCATCAATCATTATTATATCAAAGGCATTTGTTTTCTTTAAATGTACTACTTTTGAAAAATTATAGTTTTCTGAATAAAGGAGTTTAAAAAAAAAAAACTTGGCCTATATTTATTAAATTCCTAACTGCTTTTCTATTTTTAATATTAGATAAACAATAAATCCCACCTATTTGCACATATTATTTTACAAAATTAATTCTTCTCGATTAAAATTACGGTAGACGTTAAAAAAGGGGGGGGGGGGGTTGTGAATTAGTATTTTGTTTTTCACGCCACTTCCATTTTTTTTTTGTTTAAAACCAGGTTTAGAAAATGTCTTCTTTCTAAAGCATCACCTAAAAAATATAGTACATGGGTGTGGTTTCAAAAAATGTGTTGTGATATATATCAAAGAGGCAATTTCAATTTATCATAAGATAGTTGTGATAGATTGAAATTCCAAATAAACATTTGAATCAGCTGACTTTTGGGAAATTTATACTTTATTTTTATACGACTTACCTCAGATAAGATACCCATTGATAAATATATATTATATTTTGTAAACATCTCATGTCTTCTTCTTCCTCTATATCTTAAGGGCCCACGATCAATTTATTGATCATTTTGGCTCCTATGCATGTAGATGGGATTTGCAATGTTTCTGTTACTGGTGTTGATGAGGAAATCATGCACATAAAAACATAATCATGCCATTTCATATGCGATTTTTTAAAAAATGTCCTGTTTTAAATACTTACAAAAATGTAGAGACTTCAAAGCAAAGCACTTTTTTTTGTTTACTCTTGTAAAATATAGAAGTATTGGTAGATCTATTTAGACAAAGTAATGAATACTTATCATACGAAAGTTTTTTTTTTTTGTTTTTTTGTTTTTTTTAATTTGCGCTTTAGCATGTCACGTGATGTTAGCAGTGCTTCTTGTTTTAGCATGTCACGTGATGTTAGCAGTGCTTCTTGTGATGTAAACTTTTTTTTTCTGAACACTTTTTAATTTTTTTAATTTAAAAATAATTGTAAACCACTTTACTATTAAGTATATTTTTTTTTTTAAATGTATATCTGTATAACGCAACTTGGCCAAGCAGAGCCTTCGCTTGAATTCTCGAGGCCCCCTTCCACTTTTCGGTTTCTGCCCCCTCCCCTTCCAACCTCGCATTCAAGGGTAATAAATAAAATAGTGTTACCACAAAATATGAAAGCCCCTAAAATATTCGAGGCCCATTGAAACGCAGCGGTAAGGGCTGCAGGGCCCATACGATGGCTCAGAGGTCAAGTGACACCTACAATTTTAACTAGTAAAAACTAGGGCAAAACGCACACCCTCAAGGGCGTTACAACTGGAATGAATTGATTTCATGTTGGAATGGTGCGGAGTTAGAAATGTACGTGATCGTTATTATGAAATGCAAACACACACCCCCCCCCACCCCAAAAAAAATGTCTGAAAGAAACATCGAACTCAAGTTTTGCTGGCATCCGTCCGTCACAATGTGACGATGGAGTGGGCTGCGGAGGGCGAAATCCCCATGGCCTGGGATTATACTCCAAGGATTAAGCTGGTTCGCAACAGCAAATCGTCTCTATCCACGCCGCTGGGTAACCCAAGGGAACATCATTGGATGATACAGCTTGGCACCAGTGACGTCGCAGGAGTTGTCGGAATGTTTCTTTGTATCAATGTTATCCGCCTTTCGGGACTCCATCTCCGGGTTTGATTTCAGAGTTTCCTTCTCTTAGATGAGTTGCCGTCCAAGGTTAACGGGTCCCATCTACCCGGGGTGCTGGTGGTGTTTTTGCTCTAGCTGGAATTGAACTCCAGACCACCAACTTGAGATTTGCTCAGTTTATACCACTCGGCCACCCCGCAGCCAAGTAGCCTTTGCTCAAAATGCCTCCGTGCATGTCCCCCCTGCCCCCCCCCCCCAGCTACGATTCTGGCCACTAGCAATGACCATCCGAAAATCTAAAATGCGCCCTCCCCCCAATAAATTGAAAGAAACATTGGTCATATCTATTTGCCGATGGCTGGACACATATGTTGTTCCAATAGTTCCATGACAACCCTATTGCTTACATAATAAACGACAGGAGCTGTTCGCATCGAAGAGATTTCTGATTAAGTTACCTGTTGTTTATGATACCTGTTGTTTGATTGTCCTGTTGCTTTTGCTAGTTAAAACATCTGTTTTCTTGACCCAGTTGTATGTTCAATTCTCTGACCCTTTAAAATTTACTACATAAATATCTTGTGCTGTTCCCTATACAAAAAAGCTGACAACATATTACACTTTGATATCTTACCAATTTAATTACCTTTTTTTTACCTTTTCCCCTATGCTCACTCCATTGATTTAAATGGTTGAAAAACAAATAATTTAAGGTTGTTTGATTTTATTTCCTCACAGGAAACCCAAGCGGACAATATACAAGCTGATTTCATCACTACATTCTATAATCCAGAATGATGATCCAGAAGGTAGATTCAATCCTAAACCGAAGTCCCAGGTCATATTGGGGCCAGGCAGTTCCTTATGTAGAGCAAACACGTGGGCAGGTGATGCGGCTGACGCCAAGCCCACTGGAAAAAATAAACTTACTTGTGAGTCTGTGACTCTTGAAGCAGATGTGATTAAAACATCACCATCTGGTACAGCATGTGAAAACCCTTCGTGTAGGAGCAACCATTCTCCTGTGCATGCAGTTTTGATGAACAGCCCAACAGCATCTGGTACAATACACAGTAAGGCTTCATGTCACAGCAACCGATCTCCCGGTGATGCCAGTGGTTTGCTTAGAGGCAACCCACCACCTGCGTTACAGAAAATCCATGAAGAACACGACACAGCATGTGATGAAGACAACAAAGTTCTTGGAGCATGTTTAAAATTCCATGAAAGCACCAAAAAGGTCGTGTCCTTCAAAGATATTGACACACATGATGTGTCCATGAATTCCACCATTATCTATGTTTAATCATGGACCAGGACACACATGATGTGTCCATGAATTCCACCATTACCTATGTTTAATCATGGACCAGGACACACATGATGTGTCCATGAATTCCACCATTACCTATGTTTAATCATGGACCAGGACACACATGATGTGTCCATGAATCACTCCAATATTTATGTTCAAATCTTGGCCCTGGATATACATGAGTGTCTAAGTCTATGGATTCCATCAATACTTATGTTTAATTTAAGAATCTGGATACCCATGAAGTGTCCATGGATTCCATCATTACTTATATTCAAATTAAGGATCTGGATACGCATACAGTGTCCATGGATTCCACCATTACTTATAGGCCCTATCCAAATTAAGGACCTGGACATGCATGCAGTGACCATGGATTCCCCTATTACTTATAGGCCCTATCCAAATTAAGGACCTGGACATGCATGCAGTGTCCATGGATTCCCCTATTACTTATAGGCCCTATCCAAATTAAGGACCTGGACATGCATGCAGTGTCCATGGATTCCCCTATTACTTATAGGCCCTATTCAAATTAAGGACCTGGACATGCATGCAGTGACCATGGATTCCCCTATTACTTATAGGCCCTATCCAAATTAAGGATCTGGACATGCATGCAGTGACCATGGATGCCACCATTACTTATGTTTAAAGAGGCTGGATACACATCCAGTGTCCATCATTACTTATATTCAAATTAAGGATCTGGATACGCATGCAGTGTCCATGGATTACACCATTACTTATGAATAAATTCATACATCACAATTTTCATTATATCTTAGCAGTTGCTTGTAAGAATCAACCCTCTCCATTTCCCCACTCATGATGTAACATATAACCTGAAATTGTCCATGCTATCCATTTTAAGCATGAAATCCAACTAAACGGATGCCTTACATTTTCAATATTATCATGTATTTATATTTTTGTCTTGGCTTCCAGGGCATATTTGTATGCATGTCATAATTGATTCAATGAAGATTGAACATGTACAAGAAATATGTACATTGCAATATCAATTCCTAAAAATTATGATCCCACAAAGGAAATATTGACTTAATAAAATCTTAAAATTTTACTCTCATAAATTTTAATTTTCTTCAACTCAATTTCTTTTCTACAAAAAAAAATAATTATTTTTAAAATTTTCAAGGTTCAATATTGTCTCTTGGTTCTGAGGTTAAGCTATGCCAGTATTAATTCCTTATTATGTGTAGATACTCTAAAGTTGAACATTGCACTCAATGGAGACTAACCTTCCCATTCAATGTAAGGAGTGAAAGCCTAGTAAATCAAATGTCAAATCATTCTTATCAACTGTTGTTCAAAATTTCCACAGAATAAAGAGCACAGATTTAACACAACTCTGAGCATTGATTCAAGTATTTATTTTGTGGTATATCAACATCAATACAGTAAGGGATCCAATGATAAGGTTACAGTGTGGAAGTAGTGGACAACTGACCGGACAGATCCTTCCATCTGTTGACCCCCCATCACAGAAAATAAACCAGTAAACAAATGATTTACGTGAGAAGGGACGCACTGTTTGCCATCAATTCAAATGATAAAGCTCATGTTAGAAAGACAAGTATATCCTAGTTGCCTTCTCTTAATGACATCGCAATCTTCAAACATGCGTGGCATCTACAACTCAAATATAAGAAAATACTAATACACCTCTCTTATTTACATGTATTTACAAAAATGTGCACAATGAGAAGTGACCCTTTCAAAAGCCATCAATAATTATCAGATGAACATTTATTTGCCATACTTCTTCACAATACGCACACCGTTACAATATGAAATTATTGCAAATGGGCCACCATTTTGTTTTTAAAAAAACAACTTTAACTAGCATACTTGATCCAACAATCTGAGGCTCTTCGGGCGACACGTAGAAATCTTTTGACTATAAATAAGCTCACAATCAACAACATTCAGCAGCAAACAGATTTAAAAGAGCCGGGAGCGTTTGTACGAGTCCAAGTAATGACCACCAAGTCCCTGTGAGTGTTGGCCTATGTAATCTGTGCCATCGGGACTCTGTTCTGGCTTTGGCAAAAGCTGGCTATGGCTGCGCTTCTGGCCGGTAGGGGTCATCTGAAATGAATAAATCAAGAACCTTTAAAAAGCGGCCGCAGCCACGGGCAATGACCCACCAGACCCTTTCCTCTGCAGATTGCTCCACCATAATGTGGTCTGGATTACAAAGGAAGATACATTGATTGTCTGCCCCTAACCCTCAAGAAATGTCCAAGACTACAGGTTGCTCAAACATTTAATTTGAGGTAATCTTTATATAGGACTGTAAGTTGCATTAATGCTATTCAGTAGAAGGTGAGGTTGAAAGAGCTCCTTGAACCAGGTGTAATATCTGCAACCAACCGCTTGAGATCAGTAATAGTTGTAGGTCATTTGAAAACCTTCTTTGAAATTTCTTTCTTTCTTCACAACCCACTTTTCCAATGAATAAGTTAAGTTTGACATTCATTGGCATTGTTTCATTATTTTTTAAAACTACCAACAAACTAAATTTGGTTGTTACATTTCATAATGAATCCTAGAAAACAACACTGAAAGCTAACAAATGTTGCCCTTTGATTGGAAACATGAAAAAGACTTTGCTCACGGTAAATGTCAATAGAGGATCAGACTAGATATCAATGTACTTACATATTTTGGTGGTGATGGTAGTAGGCCAGACCCATGGGATGCATTTCCACTTGTCATCCCAGTAAAGTATGCAACATTGGTAGAGCCATCTCTGTTGCCACCAGCCATTTTGTTTCCCATTCCACCACCAGAAGACATGCTGCCACCAAAGCTACCGCCGCTCCCTAATAACCCCAAACCTCCACCCCCTCCCAAGATGCTTCTGTTAGAGCCGGTCATTCCCATGCCAGTATTGTAAGATCCCATGTTGTCTCCCATACCTGTCCCAGACATGTTGCCTATGCCATTGTTGATACCACTGTAACCCAAACCTGTAGACCCCATTCCTGAATTGCTGCCCATTCCTCCACTTCCCAGCTGACTGCCTCCACTTCCCAATAGACTGTTTCCACTGCCCAATAGACTGTTTCCACTGCCCATTAGACTGCCTCCACTTCCCATTAGACTGTTCCCACTGCCCAGCAGACTGTTCCCACTTCCCAATAAACTGTTCCCACTACCCAAAAGTCCACTTGTGTTACCACTTCCCAGAAGACTACCACCACCACCACCACTGCCTAAAAAACTACCCCCACCCCCACTACCTAAAAGACTTCCACCACCCCCACCAGCACCCAGTAAGCCAGTGCCCCCACCACCCATTGAATCATCCATGGATGTATTATATGAGCCTGATACAGATCCATAAGGATCATACCCATTCCCAAGGTCTTCCCTTCCCCCATAACCGTAACCACTTGTCCCATAACCACCTGTTCCCGTCCCATAACCGCCTGTCCCCGTCCCATAACCGCCTGTCCCTGTCCCATAACCGCCTGTCCCTATCCCATAACCACCTGTCCCTGTCCCATAACTATCCCCCCCAAATTTGGAACTATCTTGGCCAAGGCCACCGCTGCCTCCTTTGCCGAAAGTTTGTCCATCCTGCAGAATAGAAATGACAATTAAAACAAATCTCAGGTGAACAGGCTGAAGGTGAACAGGTTGCACTACACTTGGGACTTACATTGCTGTCCAAAACAAATACCTTACATTTTAATTTCAAGGACAGGTCAGCACTTTTCAAAAAAGTAATTATCAGGGTTTCCTTTCATCATTTGTACATTAAAAGTAGAAATAGTGCTAGGGTACTGAGCTTATTATTAAGGATATAAATGCTATATTTCTATCTTTCATAGGTCTTGTATGGTACAAAACAAATGAGCACTCTCCACTGAAAAAATATTTTTCCATATTCTTGTGTAGGTCAAGAGTTCATACAGAACACCTCTACCAGGGTAAATGTCAGGGTTCTAGATTGGGCTATGTGTTTCAACTTAATGAACATCAAACTAAATTTAACATTGTCCAAAGTTCAAAATAACATAAAAGTTAAAAAACAGTGTTCCAGTGACAAAAGAAATAACTGTGGATGATCAGGGTCACATTCTCAAAGGATTGACCAAATGGTCCTCCATCTTAAAATATCAATGAAAACATTTAGTTGCACGTTTCTTTTTATGTCATCTTCTTATTCAAATAAAAAAATGATTCTAAATGTTCCCTTATTTTTAAAAATGAACACGATGTGTTTTCAAGCTAATCACAATTTTTTTGTTGAGTACAGAATTTTTTTTGTTATAAAGCGAGAACCATGTGAATCCATTCTAATGATGCCCCATCCCACAATGATTAATGGCTATCAACCAATGAGGGCTACAACTTGGTACCTGGAAATTCACACCTGATGCTTGGTTTCCGCCTTGTCCCATGCCATGGCCCCCAGCACCACCCATACTGCTTGTACCACCCATTCCGACACCTGAACCATAGCCAGTGCCATACTGGAAAAGTACAAGACGTTACACCTTAACAACTCAACAAACAATTGCAAACAGTTAGAGACATCAATGTGCAAACCCACAGTGAAAGTGCATTGCATACAATACACCAGCATGCAAGGACGCACTGACTTGTCAGGACACACCAACATGTCAGCACAAAGCTGCATGTCAGGACAAACCTGCATGCCAGGACACACTGACTTGTCAAATTTGACAAAAACTCATGCCATATTTAACACTACAAAGCCCACCCCTCCTCACCCTCTCTTTGTACTTAAAATTTCACTTGCTGATATTTGCAAGTCAAGTATTAGACCACACAACAAACTAGCTTAAAAACAAGGAGCTTCAATTATTTCAATGAAGACAGACCATTACTAACAACAACAAAAAAATACCTTAAGAAAGCAGTCCTAGATAATTCTAACTAAATAAGTCTCTATTCTTCAATGTAATGAAATCAATAATTGTGATGACGTGTTTAGAGCTTATTATCCCCAGCAATGAACACAATGACAAATACAAGATTTCAAGCAGCATCGGGGGGGGGGGGGGGGGGGGGGGGGTGGGTGTTGGTGTTATTCATGGGAAAGTAAGCACATCAAAACAAAACTGAATAGCTGTTCATACAATAAGCTTGTCATGGTTAGCAATGGAACTTTTAAACAAGTTTTAGAACAATTTTTAAAAATACAGAATTTTAGAAAAAACTATACCAATAAAGTACCAACATTTTGCTTTCTGCACTAAACAAAAATTAATTAGTTTATACACTCTGGGGTTATTTTCTATTAGTCTCCACCAAAGTTTTCATAGTCTGATTAAAAGATTGTGAATTACTATAAATGGTTAGCTGAATGAAGAAAAAACTTACAAAGAACCAAAGGAATCTATCATATCCCTGTGTCTAGCAAGAAAATGAATTACAAAGTCTATAGTTATTATAAGCTGAATTAAATGCATGTGCATTCACAACATTAAAAAAGCTAAGCAAATTTTTTTTTTTTTGCACTTCAAACATTTACAAATTTTAGTTGCTATTTTCTACGCCCTTGCAATGAAATGATAAATCATTGAGAAACAAAAGACAGCCATTATATGTACCTGGCTGTGATAACCATAATCAGTCTGGTAGACATTATCCACTTGTCCATTGCATCCATAATACTGAAACAAACATGTGGGTGGGTGGTCATTTCACCACATGCACGATGACGCTATGATGAACAAACTACAAGTAGGTATGCACTATAGAACAGCCAAACAAAAGACAACATGCTGAGCCAATCAACAAAAATGTGTACAGTTTGTTGACATTGATGGGAGATTTGTGCAAATGATGAAGAAATGAGGCAAAGCAAATCTTTGGAAACTGAATGCAATGATCTCAATACAGTTGGAATTTTTTTTAAAATGTGATATAAAAAAAGTAGTTTTTATTTCTATTTATCGTGGAGACAACATATTTGGTGTTAAGTTTTTGATACCCTTAGTTCTCTCAGTGGTGAGGCCAAGAAGACATGTTTCAATTAAATGGTCTAAAGGACATACCACAATTATCCTTCTCTTTATTTTATGTGTCCTATTTTGAATTTTTTTTTCAAAAATATAAACAAGACCGTTAATTTATTTAATGAAAAATAAAACTGTTAATTTATTCGTAACTTAATACATAAAGCTTGTAAAGTCATAACATTTTAGGTTTTTAATAATACAACAAAAAAGAGGAGCATGACGATTTGCAAAGGAACACTTGACAAATAAAATAACAAGATAAGGAGACAACAATGAAAAACAGTGCATGCAGTTAAGGGCCTTTAAGTTCCTATCATTTGTGTACTTCAAGATACTAGATGAAGAACATTTAAAAAGGCTTAATTTCTAGAATTTGGAAATTCTAAATTTAAAAATCTTTCAAGGTCACAAATGATGGTAGCCATATAATTATGGATTTGAAAGATCAATATCAACTCCCAATCAATGAGTATCTCTTTCAGCAAAAAATTTATTCTATTCATTTATGAAAAACAATTCTGAAAGCCCTCTTATAACAGGAATGAAATCTGGTACTAACTTCACTGTCAGCTTTCTCGCTCACAATTAACAACAACATCATGCCTTTCATGTGAGCTAAACTGAATACTCACTGATTGGTCATTGTATAAATCTCCTTCACCATAACCACTATAGCCTCCCATTTCCTACATTGAAAGAAATAATCCTTATTAACGGTGCCCTAAAACAACATTTCAAATATACAAGAAATGAGATCAATCAATCATCTAATTACTGAAACCTTTTAAGCCAACAACCACAAAAAATATTTAGTTCTGTTCCTATAGAAGACTTCATATTTTATTTGAATATACGGAGAGGGGAGTTTATATTTAAAATAGCCTTGTGTCAATACCCATCTGCAAACTTTGATTTAGAGGGGAAACACTTCATGTGAGGCATGAAATATAGCTCTATAAAGGTTTTGATTATTTTTTTTATAATATAAAGATAAAGCTATGTTAAAAGTTGACTTACACCATAGGAATCATTGCCATAGCTGTAGTCATTGTAACCACCACCGGCTCCACTTTTATTGCCGTAGCCACTCTCATAAGCTCCACTTCCCCATCTGCAATTAACAAAGAAATTAATTAGACAGTCAAATGCATAAATGTCCACCATAATATTAAGCACATGATGGGAAAACATTAGCTACATACCCACGTACCCCAGAAAAACAAGAAATGTTATTTAAAAAAACAAAGACAAAAAAACAACGGAAAACAAAATGAGAGGCTTTTTTTTTTTTAAATTTTCAAAGGGTAACTTGTGGATAGAAGATTTTTAGTAAAAACTTTTGCAAATTTATTTGTTGGCTAACCAGCTAGAATGACAAAAACGATAGTTTATATAAGTAGATTTCTAGATTAGTTTTTACCAGGGGTGGGCAGAGGGCCACATTGACAAATGTAAAGCTATTGGGGGGCCTATTATGTCTAACTTTTACATATAGATAAACATTTCTCTATATTAAAATCTGTAAATTTGCACTTTAGCATTACATGACAAAAGTCAAGGACATTTTAAGAAAAAGTAAATTAGAAAAAAAATTGATCAAAAATGTTAAACCAATCATAACGGTACATGAAATTCTGTAAAACTCTACAAAATAACCTAAAAACAAAGTAATTTTTTTTATTTTCAAATGCCTTCGAGGGGCGCATAATATCAGTTTGCGGCCTGGGGGCCGTAGTTTGCCCACCCCTGGTTTATACAATATTGATACTCACCTATCCATTTGATTGTTACCATCAAAGGACATTTCCATTTTTTTCCTGAAAAGAAAAATGAAGACAATAGTCAGTAGTGAATGGGGGTAATCCAGCTGCAGTTTTATACAGCCTCTCCGGTAATTACAATTCTGGAATAATCTGAAGAAATTGAGAGACTGTTCCAACTAATGGGGAGAAGTGAAATGTGCTTGCATAGAACCAGTAGCGATCATGATTGCGTCACCGCTGAAAGCTTCAAAACACTAACAGTGTAAGGATATAATCCTAGCCCAACGTTTCTCAACATTTTTAGTGATGATATTTGCCAATTAAATTTGTGGCAACCCACAACCAGAAATAGGAGAGGGGGTGGGCAGAGATTTTTTTTAAAGATAAAAATATTTTATTACTGTAATTTTGAATGGGGGTGGTGGGAGGCAGAAATAAGGGCACCGAAGGGCAGAGGCTTTGTATAAAGGTCTATGTAAGTCCATCCCCCAAAGATTTTTGATAAATTTTCACACGATTATAAGTATATTAGGCACACACAAAAATGAGACAACATAACAAAGAAAAAAATATAATAAAATAACGTCAAAAATCACTTAAAAATTCTAATGTATGAAAAAATGAAAAGAGCTGCCAAAATGTGTGTCAAAGTTTTCAATCAGCTACTGGCATCTATGGAATGAACTCTTTTTTTTCGTTGAAAAAAGCATTACCTTGATTATCGTAAATAATTTTAAAAAATACGCAACTATTACATTATTATATCAAGAGCTTTGTAGTTACATTCAGCTTACATTTAATTTTGCACCAATCCCTATTGTTTATTTAATTCTGGCAAATGTTAAAAAAAAGTGCTAATTGTTAAAAAATGTTTTGTAAGACACTGGATTGATCCGGTACCATTTTTTTGTGTGTTCCTGGTCCAGAATGTTCCAGGTGAGCTAATACTCTGCATATCTGGGTAAGTACCAACCTCAGTTTTTTTCAAGTTATTCCTATCCTAGTGTGAAACGTTTGATTGAAACAATAAAAATCTCTTCATATGTGTTAAGTTGATTAGAGTTCACCATAGAAATGTATTTACTTGATGGACTCCCCATAATTAATTCATATCATTCTTGATTTCAAAGTAAAGCAAATTAAACATATGGATCCAGTTCATGCTAGTGAATAAAATAAACAAAGAGATAGAAAAACAAACGGCACAGATCGATATTAACTCAAAGTGGTAATTATTTTCGGCCAAACGGCACAAAAATTATATCAAGAGAAAGATTTAAAAATAGCTTTTAGACAAGTCAAATAGTTATGTGGATTAGCCAGCCACCAAGGAAATTAATAAGTGAGTTATTTAGTATTTAAACAATGTTAAAAAAGTTTCAGACAAACAATAAATCTGGGAGTGATGTCACATTTTGCATGCACACAAAACAAAACATTACCTTGCGTCTATGCCTTTCCAAGTTCCCTGATCAAGGGGAGTGTTGGTCCCAGTACTCTGTGTTGTGGTTTGCTTCAAGTGCACAGGGGGTTCACCAAGAAGTGAAGACTTTCCCCCTGTAACGTTTGGTTTTATTTTCTGATTAACATCACTGGGAATATCTCCTAGAAGACCTCGGCCAGAGGTGTTGGGAGTTGTTCCCTGACCTCCTTGACCCACAGACATCTGATACAGAAGATTTTGTCCAATCTGATGTACTAACCCTTGGCTGATCTGGCTAAGAAGACTATGGCCCATGTTTCCCATTGAGCTACCGCTTCCCACATTAAGTCCCATGGCCTGCATGATGGAGGCATTGACATTTGCAGTGCCCACATTGGTACCCATAAGTGGTTGAGGTGAAATAATTGGAGGATCTCCTAAGAGTGATGTACCCTTTCCACCCATAGGATTGCTCATGAGGGGCTGGGGGTTTACTCCTGGCATTGGACCTAAGAGGGATTGGCCTTTAACACCTGGAAAAAAAGAAGATTTTGATGAATTACCAAACATTAAGAAGTAATATCAAATGAAATGACACTTAAAGGCTATAGTCTAAGTTTCCCCTTTTTCATTTCAATTCTTTGCAAAACTTTTGAACTATTACCCTAAGAGACTAAAGTAAACTAATAGACAAATGGTTCCATGTATCACACACTAAGCAGAATCTAATCTATTTTGAAAATGTCAATCAATTAAATGTGTTCATTGTAAGGTAATAGAACTTATTTGCACTCACTTTTAAAAGGAAGAGAGGGAAAAAAACAAAAAACATATCAATTTTACGAACCAAGTACACAGTACAGGAACATGTTTTCTTGGATAACATTGAGTTTTAAGTATGATAGGAATAAATGCAAAAGGTATATTCTTTTAAATTGAGCCAATGCACAGATCCTGCAGGCTTTGATCCATTGACTAGTACCACAAATACATTTATTTTTAAATTCATTTTACAGGACATAGTGCTCCTTTATTTTAGCCAAAGAATAATCAGCCACTTTGAAAGCACTTACAGTAAGAAATTGATTCTCAACTTGGGTGGTTTCATATTTGTACACAATTTAGTAGCTGAGATCAGCCTTCTTCGTATCAATTTCTGTATCTGTAAAATGCTTCCAATAAAATCATCTTCCAAACATACTAACCTGGTCGAACACTAATGTCACTCTGCTTCATGGTGACGAGAAGCTGGCCTAAATTGTTTAGAAGACTGAGATTCAAGTAGCGTCCATTGGCTACAAATTTTTTTACAATGTACTTTAGTCTTTCACCGGGGACCTCAGGCTCTTTTAAGTCTCTGCCGTCCTCGCCTGTAAGAGGCACCTGGTTCAGCTGCTGCTTTAGACTAGTGAGTATGACATTAGCTTGTCCTGTCATCGGATCACCAAGGATGGATGGTTTTGGTCCTCTAGCCTGTGGACAAGATTTGGCAAATAATGGCAGTCAAGATTTCACTATTTTGAAACAATAGAAAGTATAGCTAGTTGAAATATTTTTTATAAATCAAGTAAGCAATAAAAACAAAAATTTTAAAGTTTATTCTTACTTTTCAGTCTATTTAACAGAGGTGGGAAATGAGTGGCTGGTAAGCTTCCATTGAATAACAATATGCTAAATAATAAACAACACATCTTAATAAGCTGTTTCAGGCAGTTTAATTGAACTAAAATTATTCCAAGTCTTTCAAGCAGCTGGCTACCCCTATCTACTATGACCTTATGGCTAACCCTGCTATCTATGATGACCATATGGCTAGCCCTGCTGTCTAGTATGACCTTACAATTAATACTTACATCAGTGATCCCATCCTGCTCACTCAAAGTATTTAACTGTTTAGCTAGAACTCCAGTAAACTGTCAGAGAAAGGAAACAAAAGTATATACAATTGTGTGAAAAATGAAAGTTTACAAAAAAATTCTTTGAAAAAATTGATCTTATTATGCAATGACTACCACCACAGAAAAGCATTTTTGATTAATATAACAAGTAGGACAATCATTTATAAATGTAGCGCCCTATATTTAGCCAAGTTACCTGCTCCCTTTTAGCAGCTTGAATGTGTATTGCCAACATAACAAGCAGACCCAGCTGCATATTCGGGTTCATCATTGGGCTCAGAGGAAGAGATGGTGCGGGGCCTAGGAGACCTAAAGTAAACAAATGCAGGATTGCTAGCTTTCATAAGAGCAATTTTATGTCATGTTCTTCTTGATCAAAATGGCATAGGTGGGGCAAGGAAACAAATTTAGCCTCATTGCAGAAAACTTATTTACTCTTAATATTGTGTCTCAAATTCACAGATGGTTTGCTTTAGAATTCATAATGTAAGGTTTTTTTTCCTTGTCCTTTTCACATTTTGATCAAGTTAAAGAGCCTGTTGCTTGTAGTTATATATAAAATCGAACAACAAAAAACAGTAGCAGCGTAAGACTTTTGAACAGCAGCACAAGAACAAGTGGAACAGCCTCATAAAATGGATGTCAAGAGCAACACAATTATAAACTGATGACTTGACAACAAGAACACATGATAAAGGTCAGGAGTTACTAGAACTGATGTTGGATCATGTATGCTATCAAACAAAAACTCATTATTGATTTATGGCATTTCAGCTCTATGGTGAAAGGGATGGACATTTAATTATTTTTTTTGGCAGCAGCAATGTAAGTGTTTTTGAAATGTAAAATATATAGGGGAGCAACATTGGTGAAATATGATTGATAATGGAACAATATAGAATATGGATAAAAATCTTGTTTGAACTTGAACATTAACATGAAAGACAAAGAGGATACTGGAAAAAATGGTATGAACATAATTACAGCTTCTTGCTTGACAATAAAGAGAGAGTAATTTCAAGAAAAACATATTCTATGGAAACTGTTAAACAGACATTAGGCACTGAAGACAGACGAGAGATAGACAGCAGGAAAAAGATGATGATACTTATTCATCCGGAATCTGGAAGACAGACGAGAGACAGACAGAAGATCAAAGAGCCTCCAACACAACAAAAACTTGGTCCCTTTTTGTGAGTGATTCAGTGGAACTGGACGTGTTTGTATAGTTTTATGTAGCTGCAATCTTATCTGAATAGAAAGCTAAAACAAAGAAAATGCAGTTGATCAAATTCTGACAGGTCAAGGTGATTTGCAATTTTGATTTTAAATTGGAGTTAAAGTTTCTGTTAAAAATTGTGTCAGGTTTCCACAAACCACTTTGACCTATCCAGAGCTAACTGAATGTGTAATTGTAATTTGGAGCAAATGTGTATGTCTGTGTCAGAGACGAGTCAAGTCTACCATGAGTATCTGAGCCTTGAAAAGGAAGTAGAAGACGGAATTCACTTTTCTCACTGCCAAACCCATCAGCCTGGCCCTGAAAGAAGTCACAACACTACATCAATAAACATAAAAACTTTCCACAAAATACTTGTTGCACAAATCTGGACATTTTAAGACAGGTTTTAACACAAACTATAAAAACATAAACCAATTTAAAATAAATCAATAAAGCTTTAACATATACATTTTATAAAAACTAGTCTGAAAAAAGTGCAAATAACTTCCATACTATAGAAAGGTGTAGTTATCCTTTCAAGAAATGTTTGAAAAACAAATACATAAAAATTTTTGAGTTATCTATAATAATATAAGATTCAGAAATTATATAAGTTTGAAAGTATTTAATTATATAATAATTCAAGTTACTTTGTTCATTTAGAACAATCATATACTTTTTTTTAAAAATTGCAAATGGAAAAAAAACAACAAATATATTAGTATATTGCAATAAAAAAATTATTCAAAGCATCTGAACAAGATATCATGCAGAAATAAAGGAAGACACAATTTTAAAGTTTGGCATATTATTCCAATACAGTTTTAGCCAGCTTTAGTGCCATCTCAATTTCCATTTATCATTCCTTGTTGCTATTCTTTCAATAATAAGCTTATGAATAAATATGTACACAAATGTATAATCAATTTACAAGGCTTGAAAATAACTGTAATGAAAAAATTCATTTGTAGATAACTCAAACTGCAACTGTAAGAATTCTAAGACAATATTTTTATAACAAATTTTTCTGTAAATGTATCTTACTATGTACATGAAAATTTAAAAATATTTGAATGCGTGAAGATCATTTGTTTTTTTTTCCACAAATCCTAGTCAAGCTTTGAACCATGGATACCTTTAATGGAATTGATTTTTTATGTTTGGCATTTTTGTTCATAGAGAGTGACATATATTTCATATAATCTTTGAAACATAGTATAGATTTCTTTTGGGGGATTTTTTTATTCTTCTTAGCAGTTAAATTAAGCTTTAGTGAGTAGTAAAGACTGCCTTAATTTCTTTAAATAAAAAAACAAAACAATATTGAATAATACTGCCTAGACCATTAAAAGTTAATAAACTTTGATTTTTTCCCAAAAACCTAAATACAATTTTTTATATTTTATATATATATATATATACATTGACTATTCAATTTATAATATGTTACCGTGTGACTTCAAAGACAATTTTTAAAATACATAAATTTAAAATACTTATCACTTATACAAAATTTAACTGAATTAAAGTCTTTTGTTGTAACTTAAAATTTTAATTATCAAAATAGGATAATCTTTAAAAAAAATACCTGGTTTGTTAACTGGAGACATCATTTGAGAAACATATGCTTGCTGCAGTTCCCCCAGAACTTTGGTGAAGTCATCCATCACTGCAAACAATTTAATGACCAGTATGACATTTTTTAAATTTATAAAATGAAGACTAATAATAAATAATAATAGTGATTCAGCTTTAGTTAATTTCAAGTTCATTTAATAAAATTTCAAGGACAGGATGTGTGCCGACTTTAGCAAAAGTGAAAAAGAAAAAATTATAATTAATACTTACACCCTGAATTTAGTTTTGTAAGACTCATAACTATAGGATTGCCAGCAATCACTGGCTTTGCTGAAACAGGATCGGGCAAGAGACTGCTACTTCTTGTAAGCTTATCACCCTAAGGAATCAAAATGAGTTTGTGTGACATTGCTGCATTTTGTTTTCTACTTAATAAAATGTGTTTTCTTCATCAGCCTTGCTCTAACTAATAAAATAATACAACATTGTTAAGACCACCAGTAACAAGAAAATTCAAATTCTAATTTTTTCAATGATTGTCATATTTAAGAAAAGGTTGCAAAGCAAAGCACTTACAAATTTCCACATAATTCTATTGTTAATGACCACAGCAGACTTCCCAGGTATACAGAATGTCAGTACCACTTCTTTATCTTGAATTTTCTGATCTCTTAACTTAAACCAAGTTTGTTCAGCATCCTCTGCGGTCCGAAACTCAACAATGCCATAGCCTAGTGATTTTTCTCCTTTTGCAATAATCTTGTGGGGCAAAAATAAAAAAACATATTTGTTAAGGTATATGTTTACTGAAATATTACTTTTTTAGAGCAGGAAATAATAAGGAACATTTTGCAAATTTATTTTATTAATGCATTTTACCTTACATTTTTTTAGAAAAAATTTAATTATTCTGCATTAAGGTTAACCACTTTTTAATACATAGATATAATAGTAATAATTATACTTTTTTTATTAACACACACAATAAAAGATGAACCCCCTATTCCTCTACTCCCCTTAAAATCTTATAACCTCTCTGCACCTCCATTTGAGCTTTACCCATCCCTGTAACATATTAAAATATACTTGTGTGGTCCAATTAAAAAAAATTCGGTTATAATTCATTATGTATGCTCTTGCTTTGCAACTATACTGAGCACCATACCAATCTATGCTATTTTCTGATAGCAGGTCGTGACATTTTAGAGGAGTTCTTTTCTAAATGACGAAGTACAAAGAATACAACAATTGAAAGCAAACCAGTTGCTTCTATAAACAACTCAACAATTAATTATAAATTAACTAACCTGGCAGTAAACTGGGCTAGTCACTACACCAAACATTTCCCTGAGTTTAGACACATCCACAAAATTTTCCGGCATATTGTTGATAAGCAAACATCTTGATTGTAATCGTTCCCAAGTCTGACATGACTCCTCCACAAAATCTGCATGCAAAGTCTGACCATCTACAACTTTCCAGTCAATCTCTGATTTAATTAACTTTGCCTGTTCACTGTCAACAGCAAATTCTACTAAGCCATAACCTTTCCCGTCACCTAAACAGAAGAATATAAATATATAGAAAAAATATGTCGATATTTTAAAAGTAATTATTGCTGTGTTGAGATTACTCTAATTTCAAAATGTTTTACTAAAATCAGGGGTGCGACGTATCTACTTGACAACAATTTTGGTTTTTATTATTCAGTGTGGATTAATCATTTAAAGGAAACGTTGGTAAAGCATTTTCTCCCTTGCTTACACATCAGTAGAGGGCAAGGAGGTAGTTTTATTGAATCGCATCATTTATGAAGACTGCTGTTCACTTTCAAGTTATTATAGAAAAATTTTTGTGATTTCTGTTTATTAAATATTAATTACATTTATGTTAAACAAGGGCCATGTAACTCCACTAACTGCGGGTCAATCAAGAGTACTCACTTTGACAACCCCAAAATTAAGGGTGCGATCTATGTAATGGGGTAAAGACAAAAATATACTGTAAGTATTAAATGACTATCAAAATTTGGGCACTATACTAACATTTAATCTCAATGATCATTATGACTCACCATTCTCATCTGATCTCATTATGTAGCAGTATTCCACAGTTCCATATTTTTGGCAGAGTTCCTTGAATTGAGCTTCAGTGTAGGAAAGTGGGAAATGAGCAATGCAAATGAGCTGATTGCTATGGCCTGGTTTTACTGTTACAGTGCTGTCTTTAAATTCTTTGTTGTTAAGTTTTTCAACAGCATCATCAACTTGATTTCCATTTTCAAGGGTAACCAGGGCTGTATGAGTAAATGTGTAAAGAAACCTTTTCAAAATCAGAAATTTTGCATACCTAAAATCCTTGAGACCAATCCAAACCATCAAAGGTGACTTATTTATCAATATTGGTGATGCTTTGTTATATGTGTTATCCACTATTTACTTTAGGTGCAAGGATAAGTTGTTTTTGTGTGTTTTTTTAAATCTTGCATGCATCACAATCGAGATTTTGTACTTTGCATGTCGTTGATACTACAATTATAAACTATGTTTTAACATTTTAAAAAATTCAGTCCTAATGAATAGGCCTACATTATTTGCTTTTATGAGAAAAATATTACCAATTTGTATGTTGAAATGTTATTACTCACCTGAATCAAGGGTGTCACTGATCTTGATTTTTTTTGCTTTAAATCCATTCAGAAATTCCTGTAATTCCTTAGGAATTAAGTAGACATAACAATGTAAGAAACAATAGCGATTTAACTATGGACTAGTGATGATAATTGTTGGCAAATTATCCATAATAGACTTAACATATTTTAATGGCTATCAAAGAAATAAATTATGACTATTATAATGCATTGCATTATGATATTATATTCGTATTGCATGTTACTGTGTGCATTCCTGATAATCACTTTTCAGGTTTTCAACAGTTCCTTGGTGGCAAGGTCAGATTGAAATAATTTTTAACCTACTCCAGACCTGTTTACCCCCAAACTCCTAAAATCGTACAAATATCAAAATCGTGCAATACAGTATCTTAATAGTATGCATATAAATAAATAAAAATATAGCATATATAATGTATACAATAACTACTCGCATGGCATGTCTAGTGGAATTGAGTTAAGCTGGCGTCAAAAAAGTGAACTGAAGGTAAAATGTAGATAACTGACATTTATGTTGCTAACTGTGGTCACTTTGTTTTACAGACATGTATCTGCTACAGATATCAATTAATATTTAGGTGAACGTGCAGATCATATTATCACAGTCTGTCACTGGTAAAAATATAGTTAGTTGTAAAATTTAATATTGCTCATCTCGAAGTCAGATCAAAAGCTTAAAATGGGTGAAGGGAAAAAGAGGATATTAAAAATCATACAGCTGTTTTGCGCCTTTTAAAAATAGATCCCCCCCCCCCTCCCCATCCTATAAAATATGTCAAAATCTAATGTTGCTGAGCAGACCAGTTGAGAATGGATTCTCTATTTTTCTCGCCTTGGTCAACCGTATGAAATAATTATGTCATAAAATTGTGTCATACAGTGCCCAAGAAAACAATCGCATAGAGGGGGTCATCTATATAGTACATACGCAAAAAGTCTACCCGCTGTTGCACAGGCACTTTTTTCTTGACGCCCCCTAAGCAAAAAAAAAAACAACTAAATCCAATAATCTTTACATAATTATATGTTACTTAACTAGACAAAATGCGACACTATGTTTCACCACTGGTGATTGGCACACCAAGTGGTTCCCAGAATACAAACCGCATCGCCCTGAGTGCTCGTTGCCCTCAGGCAGGGCCATGAGAATGGGGCGAAGAACAACAGAAGCACAAAATCAGGGCAACAGAAACGTCAATATTTGCTTCACAAAGACAAGGGGCGCTAAAAATAATCCTTTACTGGTCCGCACGGGGTGGGGGTGTGTGCACATTTTTCTATACTGGTTGCTGGGGCTTCCTCACAGGGGCGTTGCAAAATATTACAAAATTTTCATAATTTGATTTCCATACTTAATCCAATGTGACATCTTTCAGTAGTGGTGCAAACAATAACCCACTTGAGTAACTACTGTTTGAGTTTGCAGTTAGTAGATGGCTGTTAGTGACCAATAGGGTGGTTCATTGAGATATGGCAAAAAATGAAATGTGTGCTCTAGAGCAAGACACCCTCTCAAGTTTTTACATCTGCTAATAGTAATGTTTTGGTAAAGTTTTAGCTTTAAATTCTAACTACAAGACGGTGCTCAAGAGCAATATAATATCCCAATTTTACGAAATTTGAGCAAAATGAAGCAATATGCATATGTTGAATGTTTTAAAATTACAACCAGCAATAGCTTTTTAATATCAGCAGTTCAACACTCTTTTTCAAATTAACCACTAAGCTTAAACATATGGTTATTGGCATTTGTCTCAATTAAAAGGTCAAATTGTGCTGTTCCATCAAAAAACTTGAAAATTTAACCAACTCAAATTCAAGTCACAAAAGCGTGCATTATCAGTCAATGTTATTGTCATTCTGACATTAAGGCCTGAACAGCAGACTTTTTGGTGATTTGTGTTGGAACAGCCTTGCGGTTTGCTTTCACTACTACTGCTTGCAATAAGAGTTGTTTTTCTACTTCGTCGATAGTAAGCAATGTGTTGTATTCTTCAAAAAGCTTCACCGCTCGCTCTGCAGTGTCGTTCACAACACGTCATGACTTGAATCGTGTCTGGCCATATCGATACTGTTCACTTGCAGGCCACTCTTGTGGTGGCAAAACAAGAAAGGCGCTGTCAATGTTATGACAACAAAGAAGGTTCCCCGTTCTGGTAGTTGCAAAGTCACCAAAACATACATCTGGTTTCATTAGAATTGATGAATCTCCACGCACTTTTCGTTCGCCAGCCTCACAGGTCATTCCCTGCACAATTCCCATCTTTGCAGCTGCTGTCACATGATCTGAGAACAGGGCTAATCCAACAAGCTCGTCTGAAAGATACCAGAGATGATTTTCTAGGACCTTTCTTGCATCTGTACTGATATCAGGATCGATGATCTGGTAACTGCTGAGATCAGTCCACAGCTGTAATTCACTGGATGGAGCTTCAGTTGCACGGGGAGGAGTTACCCAATGCTTGGTGTAAATTAGTGCACCAAACTTAACAAAGCGCTCAACTTGGGCTTCTTCTTTCTTTGTAAGCTTGAATACATCTGTTTGGTTGCGGAAGAGATATATTTTCATGGCATAAATTAATTTTGCCATCCAGCAAGCACGATGTACTGGTCCTGGAGCCCTCCAGTGGATTGTACTCGGTGGATGTCCCAAAACAATCAGAGTCAACTCAATAAGCTCCATGTAATCATCTCTGACTTGTTCCTTTAGGTGCTCTTTGGTCAGGCCTGCAATGGTTGCATCTGATAAACTGGAAGCTTCAGGTGTCACCTGGAATTCTGAAAAATTCTGCCTGGTGATGACACTCCAACAGCCTTTGAATCGTTTAAAAAGCGGGATATCTGGGGAGTTTGAAGGTCCTCAGTAGATGGTGAAAACCTTTGACAAGATGATCTCCATTACATGATGACGACAGGCTAACCAATGAAGTTCACAACCTAGCCTGTTTTCAACGCCAACACATACTCCATTTATTCTGCGTTATTTACTGAGGTTGTGTCAAAGCACATAGCCTGAACCTTCACAACCAGCTGCCACTCCACCAACAATTTGTGAACAGCATTTGCTTCATTCTCACCAGTTCCAGAGCTCACCTTTGGCACACCTAACAGTTTGTCCATATTATCACCTGAAACTAAAACTGGTAGCCTGTCAACTGAGCCTTCCCCAAATATTGCTGGAAGTATCTTTCCATCCCAATGGATTACTAATGGGCAAGTTGGCTCAAAATTATCTTTCATTGCTTTAGAAATTTTATGCCTAGCATTTGACTGCGCTCGTTGAATAGTGCTACGTGAAATAGGAAGTGCATTTGGATCGTGACCAAGGGCTGCAGCAATAGGAATAAGTAGCCGAACAGCTTCACGATCAGATCTTTTATTACGGTCAAAAGCACTTGTTACACTTGGATTGAACAATTGGTCTCGAGAGGTTTTCTTTACTTGAGTTATCTTGTCTTGCTGTTTACTTGATTTGCTAATTTTGATCGTTATGTACTCATCGTCACATAATTAATATATTAATAGCATGGACTAAAAACAACCGCCATGATTCCATCTTCCATTGTACTCTTCTTCCATTCTTTTTTCTGAATGGTTCGTCTTACCAAGTTCCATACTCTATAAATTATAAGTCTTAATTCTCACCTCACTTAACTCCCTTAACTCAACTTAGCTCTGTGACAGTAACACTAAACAGGAAGTTATGACATAGAATAGTTAAACAGCCAACCCTAAGTAAGTAAAATATAACACAAAGAACACGATACAGTAAGTAAATATGCAAAATGTAAATTGCATGAAAGTTCAGCAAATTTCGATGAAATTTTGAAAATCCATGGTCGTTGAGCATCACCTTGCAGTTGGCACAAGAGGCTGAAACTCTGCCCTAATTAAAGGTTTGCTATAAGGAAAAAAGTTAGAGGGTGTCTTGCTCTATAGGTGAAAGTTGAGTTTTTGGGCCACCCTACTACACAACCCTTTATTTTATTTATGTATTTGCTATTTGGAAGTGTACTTGTTCGAATTTAACACAGGGAGCTTGGTGAAAATCTGAATTTGGAATAGGTGTCGGGAAACAAAATTTTAGAACCAATGACATAGCCTAACAAAATATATGATGGACTAAATATTACCATTAATAGTACCTCTACTACTTAGTATATCTGGCCAGTTCATTTGTGAAAATAAATGGCAACATTATGTCAATATTTCGTACAAAACATTGCAGTGTGATATTTTTACAGCATTCGAGATATAAATATGCTATTTTTCGACTTTTAGAGTTTCTGGATGAAAAATGTTGGTTTTTTTTAAAACCTGGAGTACTTTCTACTGAGACCATTCCCCCCCCCCCCCCATCATTATAACGAATATGTTGGTGGTATTGATTTGTATAGAATTGAATATTTACCAAAAAGTAAAAGTTTAGGCCCATTATTTGGAAAATTGGTTTCATTACTCTCAGACTCAGTCATTACTATTACTATCTTAATCTTTAATAACCCATTATAACATTAATTTTAATGTGATGCATCACATTGTTTGTTGTGGTGGTAGTTGAAGTTGTTAGGCATAGGCATAGGTTTACTTGCTACAAAATGTCACAGTTACTATACTGACTATATTAATAATATTATTATAGAAATATAAATTATAAAATAATTAAATATTTGATTTGACTACAACTTGTAAAAAGTAAAAAAGTAAGCAAGCTTTTTTTTTTTTATATAATTTATATGCACTTAACGTCGGTGCTAGCCCAAACAAAATAGGTCCCCCAAAAAATATTTTCTCTCACCCCTTCAGTGCTCGGGGGAAGATTTAATAGTTGAATGTTTCGATGGTCATTAAATCCTTCTCTTGCTTTTGAATGTAAGCTAAGGTTTAGTTTAACGGCGGCCATTTTAAAACGACTTTTTTTTTTAGTGGTATACTGTCACAGTCACATGACAAAATAAGCCAATAAAATAAAATATTAAAGCGTTTTACTAGTTCAGAAAAAAAGTTGTCCAAAAATATATAGTCCAATAAGATTGGCATTGATATCGACAAGGTCTGACAGCGACCAACAGTGGCGCAGCTGGGTTACTGACCTCAGGGTGGGTCAAGATTATTGCCACACCGAGGACCAAGAAAAATACTCTGTGTAGTTGGCCGAAAATGTCAAATCCAATATAAAGAAAAAAAAGGCCGCCTGGTTCGAGCCGTGCCTCCATATCTGCACCACTGGCGATTAATTAGAATAATATTTTAAGACATAATTTAAACAACCGAAAAAAAATTTGTAGAATGTGGTTTTTTTTTCATGGACAACAAGTCCATATGCCAAGTTTAAGCTGATAGGTTGATGGGAAGTGGGTGAATTAGCCGTCCGGAAATGTTGCCACCTTGCCAGCCACAAACAAAAGCGAAGTTATAATATAATGGATTTAAAAAAAAAAAATACTAATACTTGGAGTGATTTTTACTTATTTAATAGGATGTATATTTATTATGCAAAATTTAATTCATGTAATTTCTGTTTTTGATGAAGCAGGGGGTCAGTGGCCTATCGATACTGTTGATAAGATGATGTCATTTTAGGTGATCAGCCCAAACATTTTTAGTACGACTTTGTCCTTTAATTAAACTTAAGTCAAACTATGATTAGGTTTTATAATTTATAGTATTAGTATAGCCTACTGCTAAACTTTCATAAATAGAGCAATATATAGATTTCCACCAAATAATAAAGGCAATTTTACAAATGATTGACACAAAAATGTTTTTCCTTTTTTTTTAAAAATATTTTTTTAATTATTTAAATTTAATAAAAAATTGACTAAAGCTCTTGTTCTGTTTGCTGTTGACGTGGAGATGTCACGGAGATGTTAGAATGTCACTCATCAGCTGCATAGAAGGATTAGATTTAAGAACACCAGAGCGGTTTCTCTGAAATCCTGCAGGGACGTCAACTGCTGCCACATTTTTATGAACAGATGGTGGGGCCTTGTAGAACTGCAGCCCCTTCTTTGTAGACTTCAGCTGGGAGGGAGTCTACACTTGGAGCTTTGCCATGAATTGAGATAATACATATTTCTTCTAGTGTCTTGATCGAGGAAGGGGGTACCCGTCTCACTGTCTTCTCTTTCAAAGTTCACTGACTAAGGCGTTGTCTCAATCTCAAAGTCTGTAAATCCATCGACATAATTTAATGCACCTTGAGCCTTTGGGGATGAAGCGTGATTTTCAAATAAACTTTATTATTATTATTAATATCTTGTTTTTAAATCCTTTACATACTTCCTGTCAAGATGTCGAGCTGAAACTTGGCACATAGACTCGGTGCCCATGACAACACTTTCTATCAAATTTACAGCCCCATCCCCAAAAATCAATTTTTCCAGTGCTTTCAAATTAGGGAGTTTGATGGAAAATTCCAGATAACTGCGCTAAATGAGATTCTTATTAATCCTAAAAATAATATATTGCAAGTGCGTTCGGTGCATAATATTTTCTGTTTTTCTAAAATAGATGCTGAAATTGAAATAAATCTGTGGTGTAAAAGTAAAAGCGGGTGGGAAATTAGAATATTAATAATATAAAATAAAATGATCAAAATGCACATAAAGTTTTATGGAAAAAAAACTTTGTTTTTAGGGGTTAATTATTTATGCATTATTTGATTGTCAATTATCTCCCCGCCACAACAAAGCTGAACCAGATGCATTTTTCTTTTTGGGGCATTATGTGGAGCAAAGTGAGTATTCCAATGTTTTGTGGAAAAATTACCCCGCCTGAGTAAGAATTTTCCCATAATCTTGGTCCTGTGCTTTCCTTTCCCAGTTTCTTCCAGGTGCATTCCATACTTTAAGTGTCTGCTTCTACTAGTTCTAGCTCCATGTATTCTTTGTCCTGTCTCTCTTCCCTTTTCCATATGGATTCCATACTAGGGATTGCTGATGACGTTTTCTTGGAGCTTACAAAGACTGTGTCCTATCTACCTCCAACTTTTCCTTGTGTCTTCAACAATAGGCTCCTGATATGTCCTTCCCAGTAAGTCTTTGTTGGTGATGATGTTTGGCCATTAGTGTTTAGGATCTTTCTAAGAAGGCAAGTGTTTGTGAAGGTCTGTACTTCCTGCATGATGCGAGGTGTTGTCCTCCATGGATTATAATAAATTATATGTTATATGATACTTGGCAATACAACCCTTTTGAAAATTGCCCACTGGTTATAATTAAATTTATTAAAGAAAATGATAATGTTTTCTTGATATTTTCTGCTGCACCTGCAAGAAAGTTTTGATACAGTAGTAATAGGTACCCCAAACCAAATTTGCAAAACTAAACACATTTTGGATGATACATCCCACCCTCTTCATCACAGATACTACTTAGGATCGGGCCGTTCGGGACGAATTCTTTCCATCAGGGCGAGAATATAAAAATTCTTTTGTTCCCCAAACTGTACAAATTTACCGGCATGCTTCCTCTAAAGTCACACATCTGAATGAGATCTAATAAGTCCCCGATTTTGCTAAGAGAACTCACTGAATGTCTGTTTGAAATAATTTATTATAAATGTCTTGTGTTCAAATTGTTTTATTTTTTAGCTGAAAATGTATAATGCAATCAAAAAACATTTCCATTTATTTGGATTAATAAAAGAATCTTATCTTATTAATCTTATTAGTGACCTCCCTTTTCTCTTAAGGTCTTCCCAAGTTCCTTACAATGTACTACATATTTGCTACTTTTTGTGTTATATATGTTTATTTTTATTTGGGGCCAAATCGTCCACATGTTATCTTCAATGCAACATAATTATTTTGATATCATTTCATAATTCTGTGACTTGCATAGCTACACAACATGACCATGTAAAAAGGATTGACACGGGAAGGCGTTATGACATCTTTAGAAATTGACACAGTGCAGGCGTGAGAAGGATAACCAAGATTATCGGTTTTTATTTATATATACAGGATATTTGAAGGTTCCTAAGATACATATGCCTCCTTTTATTGATATTTGAGTGAAAACTTATGCTATTTTAATGTGACACATTATATTTAAATAAACAATGTGACACTAGATGTTTTCATTAACATTTTCTCTATTGCGGTGAAAGAGCTTTTTTACCAAGGGGTCAATTTGACATCGGATCAATGCCGTTTATAAATTGAAGATTTGAAAATAATATTTTGCCCTAAAACAAATGACCAAATCCAAATGTGACTTTAGAAAATGTTTAAAACAATATAAACTTATTATCATTGGATTCATAAATGTATTTCTTGAACTACATTTTATTTTTAAATTACAATACAATAAAAAAGTAATGCAAAAATGGTGAGAGGACAAAAATATCTTATAAACATTAAATTATAATATATGTATCATTTCTTCTATTTTTTCTTAATTTTCTTTTTGCTGGCTTCTCTGCGTCGTTGGGTTAGAGGATTTCTTGGATCATGTATCTCGTAGCGGTCAGTGTCTGGTATGTTAGCATCTATCACCTTTTTCATGCCAGTATCTTCAAATTTAAGTTTTTTACGCATCCTGTTTTTTAAAAAAATAGCAAGGTAGAGATTTGACATTTCTTTTATTGAATAAAATTCTTACAACCACAGGTAGATTACATATGTTTCCTATAAATAACTGTCAACTTTCTATTTTTAACCTTTTAAAATTTTAAACTAATTAGTAATCACCCACCAGCTTATCATTAATAATACAAAAAGAAATCCAAAAGAGAATGAAAATTAAAAACTCAAAACTTGAAATTCTTTTTGCTGCTTTCCATTGACGTTCATGGAGTTAAAAGGTTCTCCTAACGCGTTAGTGAATAGGGCTCATACCAAGATATATCTCCAGTTTCATCTTCTTTATCAGAGTCTTCATTTTTCATGTCCTCCTCGCCTTCAGAATCTGGGTGGTCTTCAGACAACTGCTTGACTGAACTTAATTTGGACTGAAATCTTTCCAACAATGCTAGGGTCTGAGCTTCACGGCTTTCTCCCTTTTTCTTCTGCATCTTTTTCAAGTCTTTAAATCTTTGCCTCTCCATCTTAAAAGCTTCTAGAAAATCTGTGCCTCCATCTGTAAAGCAATATTTTTCTTTCATGTCATATATTTTGAGTGCACTATAAATCACTAGTTCACTATTGTTTACTGTCACTTAGGAGATGAGTGCATACAACTATTGCATAAGGCTCTATTTTCTAAATGTCTAAAATAACAATAAAGTGACTTCTGTTTATGATTCAAAATTTATTATACCCATTTCCCCTATATTTATAGTATTCATCAATAGAAATAAATTAGTCATTACACAAATATCTCAGTTTATGTTTCACTTGCCTATTTGTCCAGTCTTAGCTAGTTTGACAGCCTCTTCTTTTTCTGGTGGCTTAAGTTCCTCTTTTGCTTTCATTTCAGCTCTTTTCTTAGATGCTTTGATTTCTCGTTGAAGTCGTAGCACTTCTTTCTTAGTTTCTTCACTTAAAAGAACACAGCATTTTGCCCAATTTAGACAAATTTAATTCATTATTTGAATGTCTTAATCTTAACCACTTAAAAATATTAACTTAACCATAATTTTATAAATGATGCACTATTCTAATGAGAAGAAGTGGTGTCATGCTGTGAGTAGAATTCACATAGACAGTATGTTGTTGGCCAATAAAATATCAGGTTTATGTCAGTTTGTAGTAATGCTGAAATTAACAACATAAGTATAAATCTTTTTACCTGAAAGTGAAACAAACCAATATACTGGGGTGATAGGTTAAGCATGGAAATATGGGAAAGGGCTCCTAACTTTATTTAGGCAAGTAGCAACAGGTTGAGAATCCTACAACACATCGGGTACATTGAACTTTATCAATCCTCTGTATTCTTTTCACACAGCATTAGTGGCACTGTTATTACTATTACACACAAAATTAGAGGAATTCCTACCACCATTACACACAAAATTAGAGGAATTCCTACCACCATTACACACAAAATTAGAGGAATTCCTACCACCATTACACACAAAATTAGAGGAATTACTACCACCATTACACACAAAATTAGAGGAATTACTACCACCATTACACACAAAATTAGAGGACATTCTACCACCATTACACAAAAAATTAGAGGACATCCTACCACCATTACACACAAAATTAGAGGACATCCTACCACCATTACACACAAAATTAGAGGACATCCTATCACCATTACACACAAAATTAGAGGACATCCTACCACCATTACAGACAAAATTAAAGGAATTACTACACAAAATTAAAGGCATTGTTAGCAGAAATAGAGTGATCAAATGAGCCAAGCAACTCAACTTTCAACCACTATATCTGACCATTGTTTTGGTTTTTCCAAAGCATTTGAAAAATCTTTCAAACAAAGCAGAATATCAAGTGAGAGAGAACAAGAGATTAGACAATAAAGAATGAATTGGGAAAAAAAATGGAACCTTTTGCTTTTCTTGACATCCTCAGGAGATTCTTCAATGACTTCTTTATCTTTGGGTGGCGCTTCATCAAGACTGTCTTTTTTAAGTTTTTTCCTAATTTCATCTATTTGATCACCATCTACAGGACTTTCATTGTCCTTAAAAAAATATTTTAAAAAAGAAATGACTCATTACTTTCAACCATGTTTTGAGATGTATAGGATTCATTCTAATTCTAGTTCTAGAAAGAGGGAAAAAAAAAAGACTGCCTCACCAAAAGAGTATAAGATTAATCATATAAATGTTTCATGACTTATTAGAATGAAATAATTTCTGATGCATCTAATATACTGCTATCTGTTTACAATACAGCACCAGGCACAATAGGTAACAATGTAAAAAAAAACTATGACAAACTTGGTCATCACTCATCCCAGAAGCTGTTAAAAATAAAGTTTTCTGGAGAACACTTACACATAAACAACGCATGTTTTATTTGTTAGAATTAATAAAAATGTAGCCGATAGAGGCTGACATATATGTGTAGGATAAGAGTTATAAAAATTTGAGCTGAACGAGGATGACAATAAAATTTAAAATGGAAACTGCAGCTATTGCAGGTAAAATGAATTGTCATTTAAATATCAGTTCATTGTTACTAAAGCCATAATTAAACATCTTGATAAATGCTGTCTGTTTATTATAATACATAAATCTTTTAAATGAAAGAGCCAGGGGGATTGTCACACATGACAGAAAGTATAAAATAGCCATTAATCGATTTAAAAGTACATCTATTTCGAAAACACCTTCTGGGGTGATGTTGTCTACGATCTTTTTCCAGTTAATGTATATTTTGGCTTGTGTTGCTTATGGCTGAAATGGAAAGACTTGGTATGCTCGTATGTAGTTTATATATTGACTTTGTACCGCGCTTCGAGCTTTTGGGGATGAAGCGTGTTTTTTTAAATAAACTTTATTATTATTATAATTAATCAATGTTAAAAAAAATGTCAAAAAGGGTGAGTAACCTGTCAAAAACTTATTGTATATTGAAACTGAGGGTTGATTCTAATGAATTTAAGTCATAAGATGAGGCACACATTTTTGGTTTGTTTTTTGTAAAGTGAAAAATTAGGAAGATGCCAGTTGGCATCATGTGGATGTAAAGTGTTGCATGTCATTGATAATACACTGATAATGGCAGTCACAATCGTTTCTGAGATGAACTTAACAATTTAGTTTCCTTGGTGCCGTGAAGAACTATGTGGTGCACATTATGAAAATAAGTATTACAAAGTCAACCTGGATTTTTCTTTTGCCTGGTGTTTTCTCACTGTCACTGGTGTCCAAGACAGGCACGGAGCTCAGGTGAGGGTCATCAGTGAGGTCATGACTACTTTTACTTTTGCCGACGAATTTCTACAGAGATAAATACATCATCAACTTTTTTTTTTCAAACAGTCAGACAGAAGTTTTTGATAAAACGAAGTTGTGTACCCTACATTATATCAATAAACAGTAACAACAGTGCCTCACTTTTATTGCTTTATATTCCTGTTCTTCATCTTCTTCTGCCTCTTCTCCAAATGAGAGCAAACTGAAATTTCTGGGATAGAAAAATGACCAACAGGATTGACGAGGACTTTTAAAAAAATTAAAATTTGAAATGTCTCCATTAAAATACAAAAAATTTCAGAAATCTGTTATGATTTACCATTTAAATTAAATACATTTTTGAAACATCTAATTATAACTAAATTTAGTCCAGACCTAATCACGTTTGAATGTATTTTAAGGACAGCATTACTTTCTCTTAGTCTCAGTGAGTTCGAAAAATGAGGCTATTCACTTTTTTAACTAACAAACTGTCAAATGCAAACGTGCTGTTGGATCATTTCTATTTTTTTTAGTAACCTTGATATGTATCTCTAAAATACCCTATATACTGAGATCCAAGTAAATAGTGACATTATGACAGTAAATTGGAAAAAAAAAAAGATGGTATGAAAAAAAGAATGTGGGAATTCTGTGAACTATAGGCTATGTGAAATGAATATGATTGACATTGAACTTTCAACAAATAAGTACAATTGTAATATCGTTTATCTTTTCCAAGTCACATCCACACTGTCTGTTATTTAAACATCTAAATAATTTTTTCAGACACACTTTAAAAAAAATTTAAAAATTAACACATGCAAAATTTACTTTACTTTTCTAGAATTAGGATGTAATTCTAATTTGTTAGAGGTATTTTTCTTTAAATAAATTTATGATTGGCATTTATAAATATCAATTTGAGTAGAAGCAGATTATACCGGCAGTAACACCACAGATGCAGCCATAACTGACTATCCATTTGGTTGGATAAACTTGAAAAATTGGCTTTAAAAGCAATCTATGAGACACATTTTTTAAAAATAGGAATGGTCCTAGGTTGTTTTGCCATGCTCTGTACATTGAAATCATTCAGAAAACATATAAAATTACTTTATCACCCCACATCTCCAGTAATAACCAGCAATATAGTCAATAATAGATCATGATATTTAGTGAGACGAAAAGAAATTCCCGAGGTTAAGTGTTATGCTCTTTTACATATTTAAAAAGTATTAAATGCATGTACTTGTATTCATTTCACTCACTTGGTAGCTTTTGATTTGCTTTTCGTCTTTTTATCTTCTTCCTTCTCTTTTTTAGCTTTTTTTATTGCTCGTGGTATTATGTCTTCAAAAGGATTGGACAGAATCTGAAACATTCACACAAATTAAAAAAAAAATGTTTTTGTGATTTGACAAGTTATTATTCTAAATTCCAAACTATAGAGTATTAGGGAAGACACTCAAGCTTTCAAAAGAGATTCAGTAAAATAGATATTTCATTTTTGCTTAATTTGTCAGTGAAGTTGAGTACTTCAAGTAGCTGGCTGGATGTTAGCTTGTAGTCCAATAGTGAAAAAATAAATAAAAAACAATTTGTACTTACTTCTGTTCGTAAAATAGTGTGTGGATATAAAGGCTTTTCATTCCCATCAATGGCTACATCTTGAAGTTTCAGCATATTGAAGAGTGTTGGACCAGTTACTTTTCCAAATATTGTGTGCTTATTTTGAAGTTCAGGCGTTTGGTCCATTGTAAAAAAGAACTGACTTCCATTGTCATTGGGGCCTGAATTAGCCATAGCCACGAGACCTCTTCTAATAAAACGTAGTCGGGAATGAAACTCATCCTGTTTGATCAACAATAAACTTTTCAATTGTTCCTATATAATCTAATTAAAATACATCCAATGCATTAAGCAGTTTTTAGTAAAGTGAATTTTTCCTGTGATGTCAAGCCATTTTTAGCATTTTCATTTGCTTAGCAAAATTGACAAAATCCCATACTAAATGAATTCAGAGACTATTACAAGTATACATTTTTTATAAGTACACGGGAAAAGGTATCTTAGGGAATCAAAAGAAGTTATTAAATAGATTTTTTATTAATTAATACCCAGAACATACACAAACATAAATGTTTTTGAAACTCTTTATGTTACGTATTTGGGATAAAATCTTTGTCTTTTCTTTCAATTTCCACCATTTCCCAAACAAATTTGTCTGTAGTAATAGTATTAATATTAATAGGACTAAGCTTGGGGCTATAAAAGTCAACATTTATTCTGACTCTTATGTCACCATCCCCTCTAGAGCTAATACTGTCATTTCTCTGGCACATGGAATATCTCTGAAATAATTTCTTTCATTTTAATCCATTTGAAATAATTCCAAAAATGAAATTTTGTGTTGATTTTGCAATCTAAAGGAAATCCTCTTCAGCATCAGACATAACGGCAGTAAAAGAAACATTGAGCATATTTCACAACAGATTAATCACAGAACAGGCCCTGAATAAAGTTTGTTTACACACAGATAGAAACTGAAATAGGAATCAAACTCATTTATAGAGAGTGATTTTGCCTTAACAAATATTCATTAAATCATTTGCATTTTTAATGACTATTTCGCTATTGCCAATTACATCTGCTGTGACACCACAGAAAGAGCCTTAACTGCTGATGATCAGCCATTATAGGTTTAAGAAATTTTAAATATTCTTAGGTTTATTTAATGCAATCACAAAAATAAAGTTTTAACTGAATTCTATTACAGTTGTTATAGGTAATTAGAGCGCTGTGAGCATGCTAAAATCGCATGGATACAAGCGCTATAAAAGTATTTCGTCAATCAATTAATCAATATATGCTAGTGCTTCCTTTAATAGAATCATATTTTAATTGTGTGTGCATGTGTGTGTGTGTTTTTTTGGGGGGGAAAGGATTAACATATGGTCATAAGTACAAATATTTAAGTTTAGAAAAAATGTTAAATTTGTACTAATCATTTCAGATATTCTATGACCATACTTTAAAAGGTTCACCATAGATGGATTCTCCTCCAGCCCCAGTTCCAGTTGGGTCACCCCCTTGGACGATAAAATCTTTAACAACTCTGTGGAATATTGTTCCATTGTAGTAGCCTTCCATACACAGCTGTACAAAGTTGCGACAGGCTTTTGGAGCTTCCTTTGACCATAGTTCAATATCTATATCTCCAACTGATGTAATTAGTAAAACCTTGCAATGAAGAAGAGAAAAACTTTATTTGGATATAAAATTAGAATATGTTAAAAAAATTGTTTTAAGCTATTTTAACTTAGAGTCTAGAGCTAATTAAGCTGTGGCTTAGACTTTGGTTTAAAAAGAACAACATTTGGGTTAGGGAAAAATAAAATAAGGGTAATTAACAATTATATGAAGAAGCGTAGAAGAAGTTCCATTAAACTATGCACCATTTTCAGAAATGAAATGATACAGGTAATGCTTATTATTTATGTGAATTTGGTTTGCTTTGATATTGCAGATCAGAGTCTATTTCCATTTAAATGGACCAAAATTAACATAGGACATTTTTATCAGGCGATAATTTTACTTAGCTAATACCAAGCATGTCGTCACATTATACAGTTTGGTGACCCAGAGGGTAAAGTCAATATCAGGCAGTCGCTATCCATACTATTTAGTTAGTCTAAGTAACTTAAAATTAATTTAGACTTAAACTTGTCTTTCTTTTGACAGTTTAGTAGAGTCTAGTCTAGTTATTAACAGTTACTAGTTAAAACCATTCCACCAAAATATTATACAATTAAATTCCTGTTGGCATCATATGTAAATGATATAGTTAATATGCCTCTAGCCAAAGTCATTGTTAAATTGTTTTTCAAGAAGGAAACGTTTTTTGTTGTTATGTGTGTTTATTTAACTGTGTTAATTTTAGGGAAAACGGAGCTTTGTTTTCGAATCTGTATTTTGCAGTGGTCATATGACCCTATCTAATGATTGGGTGAGAGAAGAGAGGAAGGGGATGTTAGTGAGATTTTTATGCCAAAATCACATAGACTAAACCATATGACACCACAGTGACAGATATTTTAGTAAAACTAAAAGTTGGTTACGCTACTACAAACTAGGACTAGACTAGTTCATTAGATAGTTGTAACCAGTGCTTTTTTTAAAAAAAAAATAGGTGCCGGTACTCATTGATGGATTGCCTAAGTTTTAACTACCAGTTCGCACCTCGATGCAAGCTAAATCACAACTGCAAAGATATTAAATGTCTAAAACAAGTGTCCAGTCGGAACGTCGATTGAATGTGAAAAGAAATCATAAATTTTACTTCATTTCTTAAGTGGGCTAAGAAATAATTATTACTTAAACTTAAATTATCAATTTCTAACTGCGCTCGTTTTAATTTCTTTAAGTCTTTATTATTATTCGTTATTATTACATTCAAATTTTGAAATTTTAAAGGCATTACGTCTTAAAAACAACCATGACCGGAAATAGGTTAATAACCAATGACGTAACATTACGCGTGTGTGCGGAAAGCATTTTCGCATTTTATATTTTAATTCTTATTACGCGCAATGTTAAAATAATTAATTTTAACAAATTAATAATATAAATAAATTAATAATAAACGTTAAAATACAAGAAAAGTAATAATTTTTTCCCTTACATTGAAAAAGGTGCCGGTACGCCGAATTTGTTCGGCGTACCGGCACAAAAAAAGCACTGGTTGAAACTATTGTAAGTAGTCGTAGACTATGAGAATGAGAAACAATACTGTCTATTTGAGTGTCGGTAAACTACACAGACTTTACACTACTATAATATACACAATACAGTTTTAAACTGAGTTTACTAGACTAGTAGGTATAAATTAAAACTTATAACTAACTGAACTAGTACTAGAAAAAGTAGTAGTTGGTAAAGTAGTAGTAGTAGTAAGAACTTAAGTACGAAAGTAAAAGTATACCTTTCCTTTTGTAGGCGGTTCCTGAATATAAATGTTACTCATGGTAATTGATTTATTTTACGCATGGGTTACAATACTCAGACTGTCTCAGAAACTTTAAAATGGGGTGGTTAATGTTACTGTTTTACGGTCATAATATTTATTTATTATGATTTCCCTCAACTCATAACTGAAAGTAATTAGGCAGTATGTGCAATGTCTCAAAATGAAGTGAAAATAGAGCTGTTAAAAATTGTAACGGGAATTGAGACAGTGACAATGGTTATGAATCGGAAAAATCACTTAAAATACTCTAATAATAATTTAAAGCAATTCATTCAATTTCATTTAAACTAACAAATATTATTTAGGCTTTGATTGGTAGCTCATTTTAAAAATTAAAATCGCAGACAACCTATTTTCTTTAATGAGACATAATAATTGTTTTGAAAACTTCAATCCGTGAAATTTTTTTTATATTTCATTTTGCTATTGTCACTGCTTGCTATTGACTTAAGAGCAAATTGACAGTTAAACCCCCCCCCCCCCCCCCCTTCCAAAAAAACAAATTAAACAACCCCTAAAATCATAGTTTTTCGTAAAAATCCATTACAAAATGTAATATTGTAAAATTGGGGTGGGGGCTGAAAATAGATAAAACATGCATACAAGTAATGCACTGTTGTAAAAAAATCCCAGTTACTACTCCCCCCCTCTCCACACATACGGTTCGCAACCGCACATTAGTTTTCACACCACTGAACTATATTATTACTCTAAAGACCCACCCGCTGTTACGTTACATTTCAGATATATTTCAAAAATAATATTAGAAAAATAAAATAGTAGGAATGGGCCACCAAATGAACATCAGTCAAAGAACGCAGCTGGTGTTGACAAATAAAAAGTTATAACCATAAAATTTGGCTTATTAATAGCCAGTCTAAATGTGCACTTAAAAACTGAATTTGCATTTTGATAAATTTGATAGATTTTGTGAAATTCAAAAGAAACTGATGACTATGTAGGTTGGGAGAAATTGACATAGCAAAGGGAGAAATGGACCACTATGTTGGGAGAAATGGTCAGCAAACTAAAATGTGGTTAAAACAAATTAATATTTTATCTATTTTCTATTTATTTTCTCTCTGTTGAGCTGTAATGCACCATACAATATGTAATGTAATTAGAAAGATAGCAAAGCAATTTTACATTTTATGTAAATTTATTGCACATAACCATGTAGACAAAATGTAATTTGAGCAAAACAAAACAGATTTATGTAACATTTAAAGAACTCTGATGTTCTTTATAGAAAAAACATCTTTAGTCCTAGCTGTCCAAGTCTTTTGTAAATTTGTAAGTTTGGATTTTGTGTCTTTAGAATAATCACACAGGCAATGACTCATAGGACAGCCTACATGTGATCTTACAAATTTTCCAGTCATTTTCTCACTTTTTCTTAAAAATTCTACTTCCGCATTTCCATCTTCAAGTCCCTCCTGTGAGACCCTCCTGCGGCACGGGGCAGGTGAGACCCTTGCCAGAGATTTTGTGTCTTTAGAATAATCACACAGGCAATGACTCATAGGACAGCCTACATGTGATCTTACAAATTTTCCAGTCATTTTCTCACTTTTTCTTAAAAATTCTACTTCCGCATTTCCATCTTCAAGTCCCTCCTGTGAGACCCTCCTGTGGCGCGGGGCAGGTGAGACCCTCACCAGACCCTTGCCAGAGGGGCAGCCCTCCTGTGGCGCGGGGCAGGTGAGACCCTCACCAGACCCTTGCCAGAGGGGCAGCCCTCCTGTGGCGCGGGGCAGGTGAGACCCTCACCAGACCCTTGCCAGAGGGGCAGCCCTCCTGTGGCGCGGGGCAGGTGAGACCCTCACCAGACCCTTGCCAGAGGGGCAGCCCTCCTGTGGCGCGGGGCAGGTGAGACCCTCACCAGACCCTTGCCAGAGGGGCAGCCCTCCTGTGGCGCGGGGCAGGTGAGACCCTCACCAGACCCTTGCCAGAGGGGCAGCCCTCCTGTGGCGCGGGGCAGGTGAGACCCTCACCAGACCCTTGCCAGAGGGGCAGCCCTCCTGTGGCGCGGGGCAGGTGAGACCCTCACCAGACCCTTGCCAGAGGGGCAGCCCTCCTGTGGCGCGGGGCAGGTGAGACCCTCACCAGACCCTTGCCAGAGGGGCAGCCCTCCTGTGGCGCGGGGCAGGTGAGACCCTCACCAGACCCTTGCCAGAGGGGCAGCCCTCCTGTGGCGCGGGGCAGGTGAGACCCTCACCAGACCCTTGCCAGAGGGGCAGCCCTCCTGTGGCGCGGGGCAGGTGAGACCCTCACCAGACCCTTGCCAGAGGGGCAGCCCTCCTGTGGCGCGGGGCAGGTGAGACCCTCACCAGACCCTTGCCAGAGGGGCAGCCCTCCTGTGGCGCGGGGCAGGTGAGACCCTCACCAGACCCTTGCCAGAGGGGCAGCCCTCCTGTGGCGCGGGGCAGGTGAGACCCTCACCAGACCCTTGCCAGAGGGGCAGCCCTCCTGTGGCGCGGGGCAGGTGAGACCCTCACCAGACCCTTGCCAGAGGGGCAGCCCTCCTGTGGCGCGGGGCAGGTGAGACCCTCACCAGACCCTTGCCAGAGGGGCAGCCCTCCTGTGGCGCGGGGCAGGTGAGACCCTCACCAGACCCTTGCCAGAGGGGCAGCCCTCCTGTGGCGCGGGGCAGGTGAGACCCTCACCAGACCCTTGCCAGAGGGGCAGCCCTCCTGTGGCGCGGGGCAGGTGAGACCCTCACCAGACCCTTGCCAGAGGGGCAGCCCTCCTGTGGCGCGGGGCAGGTGAGACCCTCACCAGACCCTTGCCAGAGGGGCAGCCCTCCTGTGGCGCGGGGCAGGTGAGACCCTCACCAGACCCTTGCCAGAGGGGCAGCCCTCCTGTGGCGCGGGGCAGGTGAGACCCTCACCAGACCCTTGCCAGAGGGGCAGCCCTCCTGTGGCGCGGGGCAGGTGAGACCCTCACCAGACCCTTGCCAGAGGGGCAGCCCTCCTGTGGCGCGGGGCAGGTGAGACCCTCACCAGACCCTTGCCAGAGGGGCAGCCCTCCTGTGGCGCGGGGCAGGTGAGACCCTCACCAGACCCTTGCCAGAGGGGCAGCCCTCCTGTGGCGCGGGGCAGGTGAGACCCTCACCAGACCCTTGCCAGAGGGGCAGCCCTCCTGTGGCGCGGGGCAGGTGAGACCCTCACCAGACCCTTGCCAGAGGGGCAGCCCTCCTGTGGCGCGGGGCAGGTGAGACCCTCACCAGACCCTTGCCAGAGGGGCAGCCCTCCTGTGGCGCNCTCTCTCTCTCTCTCTCTCTCTCTCTCTCTCTCTCTCTCTCTCTCTCTCTCTCTCTCTCTCTCTCTCTCTCTCTCTCTCTCTCTCAACAGATACGTTATTTACACGTGTATATTTGTACATATAGCTATATAGGAAGTAAGTAATGCTATAGTCATAGAAACTGATATCGAAGCATAAGGTCTAGGTTTTAGTCATGGATGACATAAAGTTATACATAGAGATTTACACTTGAAGAATAGAATTGATATAGGTATGTAGGTAGAGATATAGAGACGTGTTTATGTAGTAATGTCAATGCTTAGTCCACGAAACAGACATAGAAAACTACTTAGAAGCGGGTGCTGCCTGAGTTTAAACCACTAACTCTCTCTGTGACATACATACACAAAGTGTTGAGTTTAAACCATTCGGCCACCCAGCTCAGTGAGTGAACTTGTACAATTTTCCATCTGTACCCTAAAAATCATTTTTTTTTTAAACGAGTATACATTTCTTACACCGCACGTGACACTCATGCTCAGCACTCATATTAAAACCATCTTCTGACAATGGTTCGGTTATACAACTGTAAACTATAACTTAACAAAAACAATTTATTTCACTTTTACATTCCCCTACGCATACGCGGGCATGTGCACTACGCTGTGTCAATATCCGTCCATTCACGTAGCCCAGATACGGATTCTGCGGACAGCTGCTTCCGTCTCCACGTGACGTGTTGGGGGGCGTGGAAGAAAACCAACACATCTGGTGAGGAACTTGATATTGTCGCAGAAAACAAAGATATCTTAAACTCTATTCAGGTCTATGTAGGCTGTATGTTCGATAACATAAAGTGTTTATTACAAATAACTACTGGGTAATGTCTGTGGTCGTGCTATGATATATACTTGGACACGGCCGTTAGTGGTTATGTAAACGGACCGGGTGGGCTATATCTTTTAGCCCACCATACTCGCCTCTATCCACAGTTAAAGCGGGACTTGATTGCGGGCTAACTAGGAAAGTTTTGTTTTTTTAAACTTTAATACCATTTATTACATGGATATTTTCAAATGTCTGCAGCATTAACTGACTTTGTGTTTAACAATTGTAAACTTTAATATTCAGGTAACAAATAATTATTATAACAATTATTTCTCGCAGTCGCACTAGACCAGAGCCACTAGGATATTGTTTAGGCCAGCACTTATTTTTCACTTCACTACGCTCAGTAATATAATTATGTTTTTTTAAATTTATGTCAGTCATGTCAGGAACAATCAAAAGTGGGGCCCAATGTCGCAAAGTAATAAGCAAGGCGAAATCTAATAAAAAACATTCTAGTATTTTACTTGCTCCCTTCTAAAAGAAAGCCAAGAAGAGAGAAGCTGAAACTGAAAACCTCAATCGCTTATTATATACGCTGTTATTAACAGTTTAAAAATTGTACAGTAGCCGCAAAACTTAATGCATAAAAATAAGGATATGTGCGAGCAACAGAACGAAAGCCGTCGGCATATCGTCTGCAGCGCCCAGTGCGATATTTATAAGCGAACATTGCACCCCTTTGCAAGTTTTGCCTTAAATCTACGCATCATCCGATAAATACAATTGCTGTTCTTTACAGGAACTCCCTCAAGAATAGCGTGGCGTTCTCAATTTCGAACCAGTTTGATTCATTGCAGATTTGCAAGATGCAACTTTACTATTTTCATCACCCGATTACGCTTCTGTGCATATACAGGCCACCTCCCAATAAGTGAAATAAGTTGAAAGGCCTCCCAGTTTACTGCTGAGTTTATACAGCTCCTAGACACGTACGCCCATACAAATAGCAACGTCATCATAATAGGTGATACCAATTGCCACTTTGATTCCACCACTGACAGCTATGTGAATACTCTGAAATCAGCTCTTGACACATACAGTATGATCCAGCTTGTCAGTGTCCCGACACAGAAGAGGGCTCACATCCTGGATTGGCTTGTTGTCAGAGAGGACAGCGCAGCTGTCTTACGCAACCTCCTTATTGAAGATA